ACACCCATCCGTTTTGAGGAGAGACGGATTCAGGGTCTTTTCGGTCTAAAAACGACTCTTTTATTAGTACTAAAACAGAGTCGGGCCGGCGCCCGTTTTTGGGGTCGTGCGGGTCGTTTTCAGACTCTAAAACAGCGTCGCTTGTTCTATGCGGGATATTCGTAAAAACAAATTCTTTCTGCAGTTGTTTAATTTTATCAAAACCACATTTATTTTGAGGTTTAGGAGATAAATATAACACATAAACAAGTTTAGTCAGAGGTTTTGATTTAAAATATAACGTCTACTTCATAGATATACAACACACGGGCAGCCTAGTACATTTGAATTTCCGAGCTGGGTCAACCTTTCCTGTCCTAGTTTGTATTGTATCGCCCGGACATTAGGTAAATAAAGCAGATACTCAATAAGACTAGCCGGTGCAACAAGGTTGACGCGGTCAGACTTTAGGATGAATTTACTTTTACTAAAGGATCAGAGGTGCGTGAAGGATATATATCTATATGGTCTACTTGTGAAGTAATTGTTAAAACGCTTTTTCAGTACATCTGTAAAAGATATTAAATGGCAAAGGAAAAACATTGCCAAAAAAGGTATATCTATGGATTTATGAATTTTGTTGGAAGAGGGGAAATTAAATCAAACAGTGTCTGTACTCTGTATATCCCAAAACTTATTCATTTTCAGCAGATACATTCACGAATTTATATATTAAACCTCTTTGCTCATATATATAGTAGCTATAGCTGGCCAAACCGCTGGACTAAATTGTCTGACATTTTTTTGAGGTAACTCATGAGTACTCTGGGGGTAAAACATGAAGCAAAACATCAATTTTTAAAATTTCAATTTAAAAAATTACAATTCAGCTAGTTTTTTTTTTATAGATACAGGCTTACCTACGAAGGATGATACTTTAATTAAATTTTATTTAATTTAATCTTTTGATCTAACAAATTACTAATGTAGTGTGGAAGACGAGACCTGGCGGCCTCCTAACACAAAGGCCGTAAACAAAGAAAAGAGTTCTGAATCCTGCGCTGCATCTCTCGGTTAGAACAATGTGATTGATTCCGACATTTTGTAGTTATTGTTATCAGTAAAATATATACTCGTGAAAACTTCCTTGTCTTATTGGAGATCGACGCGACGTCCTCCATAGTAGGGAATTTCAAGAAAAAGTCTGACAAATTCTGTATAGTCGTCTCTGAAGTCTCATACCTTATGTACATAGCATAAGAATTCAAAGTCACTGGCTTTAAAAAGGGAGTGTTCGTGAAAAATGAAAGCTTACGGCGATAAATAATCGCTTCCGATCGCTACTAATCTCACTTCTATCTGTTGCGTCTATATTGAGAAAATTGTTAAAAAACGTCTCATACCGAAGAACGAAGCGTTCATACAAATTGAGGAAGTTGGAACATTCGACTTGGATCGTAAAAAAATCAAATTAATATCAAACAAATAATCTAGATATTAAATCCTATAGTCATCGATAATTTTTCGACGCATTTGTATATAGTTGATATTTCATAATATTTTTTATTTTGTGTTTTTAAAATTAATATTTCGCTTACAACTTGTTTTCACGACTGGCGCATTCCTGGAAAATATGGAAAATGTCGTCTTCATTATCAAAATCCTAGAATCAGGAATGAATGTTTTTAAAAGTCACTCTTGGATCATAGAAAGTAAAAAAAATATTATGAAATATTAATTATATACGAATGCGTCGAAAAATAATCAATGACTATCAGTTGTAATATCTGAATGCTTTGTTTGGAATCAAATTGATTTTGTTACGATCCGAGTCGAAAGTTGCAACTTTCTGAATTTTAAAGGAATCTACGTTCTTCGGTAGAGATGTTTTTAACAGTTTTCTCATTATAGACGCAACAGATAAAAGAAAGATTAGTAGAGATTATTTATCGTCGTAAGCCTATACCCCCTTTAATTTTTCGCGAACACTCCCTTTAATCATCTGTATGCCCTTTATTTAAAGATTAGGACAATCATTCAAATTCATTTTTTGTTCGCTTGTTTATTTAATCAACTTATTTCCGTTTGAAGGATGTTTGTTAGCAATACTTTATCAAGGAAGGGTTTAACAAAGTTTTCAACCATATTTTGAAGTTCTTAGTTTGAAATTATATTCCCCTTCAGCACAATTTAAAAGTTTAAGCAAACAAGAACAATTCATGGGACTGTTCTAAAAAACTAAGAGTGTTACACTGCAAATCATTAATATTTATGTCATTGTTTAAAAACTATTAAACAATATAGAAAAATAGTTTTGTCAAATTTTATACTAAGTTGTATAAAGCAAAGGAACTGACAAATAGCCGCGTACTGTATATTTTTACAGCCTGATGATGTAAAAATTTGATATTGCTATCTTTGGCCATTTTAAGCTATATACAGGAATGATTATACAATTAAATGAGTAAAGAAGTTTTTTTTCATCTATCAGAGATTGCTCTTTTTTATTACCTCCCCACACCCCTCTTTCTAAAAAAAATAAGCAGATTAAGATTGAAAAATAGTCAGTGTAATGTGACGATGGGGTGGGGGGTGGTAGGAGTAGTCCACGGAACATTCAATAAGAAAATATTTTGATGTTTTTAAGATTTAAAATGCCCGAATCCGGCCCTTTCCTTCTCGCACCTCTGATTTGGCCTCTAGGTCACGTGACCACTGCACTAAAGAAGGATCCAAATGAAACCCCAAGAAAGGTATCTTGTAAAAACTTTAAAAAATTGTTTTCTAAAATGTGTAACACATATTTCAACTAAATCTAGAATGTCTACCAAATATTCCAAATATATCTAGAATGTCTACCAAATATTCCAACTATATTCAAGAATGTCTACCAAATATTCCAACTATATTCTAGAAAGTCTAACAAATATTCCAACTATATCTAGAATGTCTACAAAATATTCCAAATATATTAAGAATGTCTACCAAATATTCCAACTATATCTTGAAGGTCTACCAAATATTCCAAATATATCTGTAATGTCTACCAAATATTCCAACTATATTCTTGAATGTCTAACAAATTTTTCCACTATATCTAGAATGTCTACCAAATATTCCAACTATATCTAGAATGTCTAACAAATATTTCAACTATATCTTAAATGTCTACCAAATATTCCATTATATTAAAAAAATCTATCAAATATTCTAACTATATTAAGGATGTCTACCAAATCTTTTAACTATATTTAGAATTTCTACCAAATCTTTAAACTACCAGAATATACTAATGATATTTAGAATCATGTTGACCGGCATCAAAGTTTGTCTGGACATATGATGGGGGCACTCAGCTCACTTAGGTAACGATCTTATCTGAAGATGGGTTTTGTCTAAAACCTGAAAGATTATACACATCTTGTATTCGTAATTTGATCTGTCACGATACCGTTGTGAATCAGGCATGTCATCTTTGCATGGAGGATCACTAAGTCTTAGTCTTCGTTACTTTTAAACTGCGTTACTTATATTAACACTAATAAATAGATTAAATCAAATATGTGGCCACACATCAATTTCGAAAAAAAAATTCAATGCCCATTATATTCTCTAGAGTTTATTATACCTTTGATTCTATTTCTATATCTTTTCGTTCAAAAAAATTGAAATATCATCGCGCCAATAGACTAGTTTTTCAGGTCTTGGATGATGGCTTATGCCTGTATGTACTATCTACCTGAGAAATGTGGACTTGAAGCTTATCCTGGTTTTGGTCCTGGCAGGGTATACAGTCTAGACTGGGTTTCCCATATATTAATCAGGTCAATATTTAAACATAAACATCACCTGGCAGGGTATATACAGTCTAGACTGGGTTTCCCATATATTAATCAGGTCAATACTTAAACATAAACATCACCTGGCAGGGTATATACAGTCTAGAGTGGGTTTCTCATATATTAATCAGGTCAATATTTAAACATAAACATCACCTGGCAGGGTATACAGTCTAGACTGGGTTTCCCATATATTAATCAGGTCAATATTTAAACATAAACATCACCTGGCAGGGTATACAGTCTAGACTGGGTTTCCTACATATTAATCAGGTCAATGTTTAAACATAAACATCACCTGGCAGGGTATATACAGTCTAGACTGGGTTTCCCATATATTAATCAGGTCAATATTTAAACATAAACATCACCTGGCAGGGTATACAGTCTAGACTGGGTTTCCCATATATTAATCAGGTCAATATTTAAACATTCTGGATATGATATGATTTTAAAACTGATTCCGTTGTTTTTCTAAACCGGATTTACTAAACTTAAAAGGAGAGAAATTAAAAATGGTTAATGGATAATCTGTGGGTTCTACAAATATGTATATATATAAAGGAATATAGTTGGAACCTGGATAATCTGTGGGTTTTGGGATTGGTTTCTCTATTTCTCCCCCCTCAAGGATAAACTGCATAAATATAAGGTGTTAAATCCCATATTTTTAATATGTTTTTACAAGTTCAAATACTAAGATGATACCAATTGGAAGTTCCAATTGATATCATCTTAGTTTGTAACACTAAAATAATCATATTTACAAAATAAATACCATTACACAGTCTTTGAAGAATTCCTATGTTTTGTGAAATTACCTTTATAATGATGATTAAAAGATTGTTATTGTAAATTCATAAAGGTATAGGCCGGCGGTTATTTTCATGAGTTATATGGTAATGAACCCTAGCTGGATTTTGTACACCAAAAATAAATGTTTTAATTTGGATGAATATGGCTTCAGAATTTATGTAAATTGACGATTATATAGATTGATTAATTGATTATTTTAGATGAACCCTGTCTATCCCTCCTGGAATCAGATTAAGCATGATGCATTCTGGACTACAGCTGCAAGGTATAAAGCATGATGCATTCTGGACTACAACTGCAAGGTATAAAGCATGATGCATTTTGGACTACAACTACAAGGTATAAAGCATGATGCATTTTGGACTACAGCTGCAAGGTAAAGCATGATGCATTCTGGACTACAGCTGCAAGGCATAAAGCATGATGCATTTTGGACTACAGCTGCAAAGCCTGATGCATTCTGGACTACAGCTGCAAGGTATACAGCATGATGCATTTTGACTACAGCTGCAAGGTAAAGACTGATGCACATTCTGGACTACAGCTGCAAGGCATAAAGCATGATGCATTTTGGACTACAGCTGCAAATTAAAGCATGATTCAATCCGGACTACAGCTGCTAGGTAACTCTTGATGCATTCTGGACTACAACTGCAAGTTATAGCATTATGTATTCTGGACTAAAGGTGCAAGGTAAAGCATGATGTATTCTGGACTACAGGTGCAATGTAAAGCATGATGTATTCTAGACTAGCTGCAAGGTAACGCATGATGTTTCTGGACTAGCTGCAAGGTATAAAGCATGATGCATTCTTGACTACAGTTGCAAGGTAAAGTATGATTCTGTGTGGACTACAACTGCATATTAGTTCAATTAGCAAAATAAAGTATTACCTTTTGCGGTAAATATTGTTAGGAATTTGAAATAATAAAATCACGTTTTACTAAAGACGACATTTGATTTTGTGATTTTAGTTTTTTCGGGAGTCTTTTCGAGATTGTTCTCTGTCACCATTGGGCTCTAGGAAGCATACCAATGCAGGTTTAATTTTTTTATTTTGAATCAAAAAAAAATAATTAAGTTTTATTCTGCAAAGAATAAAAAAACTATCCTTCTACACAAAGTGATCTCAGATAAGACGACATTTTAAGTCCTGAGTTCTGCATACATCTTGAAGTGTTTTTATGGAATTTTATTATCTTTTTGATTAGTGTACACGATTTAATCGTAAAAGCATAATATTGGCAATCCTTTTTATATTTATTTTGCTAATTAGAATATCTCTGTTATCTGTGTTATCATTATAATCTCCAGTGTTCGCTGTTTATATCAATACAATGAAGATAACTTTTATATTTAAGTTTTTATATCTAACCAGTTTTTTTCAAATTAGAAATTTAATAGTAAAGTAAAGAAAGAGAAGCTGTTACTTTTTTCTATGTTTATTTGTATCATAAATGCGGTTTAAAAACTTGGTAACAATTTTAATTGAAATTCATCTTCATTGTATTGATATATAAGAGACGACTGTGTAATCTGTGTAATCTGTATAATCTGTAATCTGTAATCTGTGCAATCTGTATACGATTTATGTATTCTGTATAACTTTTTTTAGAAAAGTTTCTCTGAGACTCCTATTTTAACCACTGTTCTAGCTCTAGGTGTTACTCACATTAGGACACCACACTTCTACTTTGTACATAGGTAAAGTACATTAGGATACCACACTTCTACTGTGTACATAGGTAAAGTGCATATTATTTTGTACAAAGGTATATTTCATATTACTTTGTACGTTTTTCAATCGTTTTCAAAACGATCGTTTCGTTTTTGGGAAAAAACGATCGTTTTTAAAAACGACCCACTCGTTTTGAACTTTTAGAAAACGAATAACGATCGTTTTTGAAAACGATCGTTTTTTTAAAACGATTTGCGACCGTTTTTATACGATTGTTTTTTAAAAAAACGATCGCTTTTTAAAAAACGATCGTTTTTGAAAAAAAAAATTATTGACAATTATTGTAACGATCGTTAACGAAGGGTCGTCGTTAACGATCGTTAACGAAACCACGAACTTTATAAAAAGTTTTTGAAAAAAAGTTACATGCAACTTTATTGAATGTCGTCTTACATATGAAGTTAAACAGTTTTGGGGGAGCTAAAACTTCTTGATATTTTCTTAAAAACTACTTAATCTTAATGATAAGAACAAATGCCTTTCAGGTCGGTTTCCTCTCTTCGTTAACGATCGTTTACGAAACGACGATTTTTACAGTAAATATCACTTTGTACATAGGTCAGCACTTAGTAAAACAAGAAAATTACAGTATACAAACAGAGTAAACTTGTCCGTCTTCACTGTTCATCTTTCAGAGACATTGTAGACATACTTTACAGCCATTTACCTTTTTTATTAAGTAAACTCTAGCAGACATAATAATATTATGGTTTTAGAAATAAGGTATTACAATGCTATTTAATAACAAAGACGATATCGAATTCGTCACTGAATTCCTATGATATTTTTGGGGACACCCTGTAGTAAACATTATTTTGTACATAGATAATGTATACGTTAAACATACAACTCAATATAAAAAAATAAATTGTTAAATGTTTGAATAACCCATACCCAACCAACTTCAAATAATAAGACTTGTGAATAACTTGTTTTAACTATTTTAACAATTTCATGATTTTTTCTTCTATGTAGATTATTTCTTCTATAGATAAAGCACGTAAATTATTAATATTAAATTGAAAGAACTTTTAGAAATATTTCATCATTTCAGAATGATGCATCCTTGGAAGACGACATCCATTCCAGACTTTGGAAAAATCCTATATAAAAAGGTAATAAATATCTTAAAACCGATTAGTTTTGCAATGAAAAATTCTATTAATTTATGAAATTACAATCAAAATTTTACATATTTACCATGAGATCCAGAATAAAAAGCCTAAATACAGTGGTAAGCGATTATATCACAACAATGAAGACGACTTTTTAATAAAGTTTTGATTGCTAACAAGCTTTTTTTAAATTACAAGGTTACAAGTATTGATCCTTTTCTCTTGATTTCTGTGTTTATGTGTATCAGTGCTGTTCAACAGCTGGATGTACATTAAAATTGTAGTCGAAAGTCGTCTTCATTGTATTAATGTAATCGCCTAACACTGTATAAGCAATCTCGTATATTTTTAGTGTGGTTACAAGTGTGAAATGGATTAAGTAGTATGTACAAGGCGAAATTGCTGTATTCTTTTTTTCATTAGAGTTTTAAAACCAAAACTTTTTTGTCTAATATAGTCGTTTTCATGTTCCTAAGTTCTTGGTTTTCACCGTACACAATTTGAATTTAGATTTAAACTGAAGAAACTATACTTTAACCATATTAGACAAAAATAGCCCTATCGCGATAGGGTTAAGCAATGAAATAGCTAACCAAGGAAATTAAGTCCTTCAGTAAAAGGTAGATTTTGTAACTGATTTAATCTTGAATTTTTTTCCAGTGCTTTAACTAAGCCGTTTAAACATTCTTTTAAGCGTCCCGAAAAAATGAGAATAACATGAAAGACGACATTTTCTCAAACAGTTCAAAACTAAATTCTGATCAATAGTTTTGGGATTGAAGTTGAAAATTATAAAAGGATAAAAAGTTTAAACCTACAATTTATCCAAAAACTTCGTTTAATCTTAGCACCAAAAAATCCAATGCTTACTTTAAAAAATGTACAATGACTACACCTACAATTAATTAGAAAATTCATAAAACATTTTCAGGTCCATTCTCTTCATCACAAGTCTTACAATCCGACTGCATGGAGTGGTACAAATATGCATCCTGTAGAAGCTACATTGTACTATTCTGCAGTACTTATACCTGGTAATATATAAACATGTACTAGTGGTACAAATATACATCCTGTAGAAGCTACATTGTACTATTCTGCAGTACTTATACCTGGTAATATATAAACATGTACTAGTGGTACAAATATGCATCCTGTAGAAGCTACATTGTACTATTCTGCAGTACTTATACTTGGTAATATATAAACATGTACTAGTGGTACAAATATGCATCTTGTAGAAACTACATCGTAATATTCTGCAGTACTTATACCTGGTAATATATAAACATGTACTAGTGGTACAAATATGTATCCTGTAGAAGCAACATTGTACTATTCTGCAGTACACATACCTGGTAATATATAAATATGTACTAGTGGTACAATATGCATCCTGTAGAAGCTGCAATTTTACTATTTTGCATTACTTATTCCTGTTAATATATAAACATGTACTAGTGGTACAAATATGCATCCTGTAGAAGCTACATTGTACTATTCTGCAGTACTTATACCTGGTAATATATAAACATGTACTTGTGGTACAAATATGCATCCTGTAGAAGCTACATTGTACTCACCTATAAACATGTACTAGTGGTACAAATATGCATCCTGTAGAAGCTACATTGTACTATTCTGCAGTACTTATACCTGGTAATATATAAACATGTACTATTGGTACAAATATTCATCCTGTAGAAGCTACATTGTACTATTCTGCAGTACACATACCTGGTAATATATAAATATGTACTAGTGGTACAATATGCATCCTGTAGAAGCTACATTGTACTATTCTGCAGTACTTATACCTGGTAATATATTTATAATGTACTAGTGGTACAAATATGCATCCTGTAGAAGCTACATTGTACTATTCTGCAGTGCTTATACGTGGTAATATATAAACATGTACTAGTTTTACAAATATTCATCCTGTAGAAGCTACATTGTACTATTCTGCAGTACTTATACCTGGTAATATATAAACATGTACTAGTGGTACAAATATTCATCCTGTAGAAGCAACTTTGTACTATTCTGCAGTACTTATACCTGGTAATATATAAAAATGTATTAGTGGTACAAATATGCATCCTGTAGAAGCTACATTTTACTATTCTGCAGTACTTATACCTGGTAATATATAAACATGTACTTGTGGTACAAATATGCATCCTGCAGAAGCAACGTTGTACTATTCTGCAGTACTTATACCTGGTTATATATAAACATGTACTAGTGGTACAAATATGCATCCTGTAGAAGCTACATTTTACTATTCTTCAGTACTTATACCTGGTAATATATAAACATGTACTAGTGGTACAAATATGCATCCTGTAGAAGCTACATTTTACTATTCTGCAGTACTTATACCTGGTAATATATAAACATGTACTAGTGTTAAAAATATACATCCTGTAGAAGCTACATTTTACTATTCTGCAGTACTTATACCTGGTAATATATAAACATGTACTAGTTGTACAAATATGCATCCTGCAGAAGCAACCTTGTTACTTATACCTGATAAGCATACGTAAGCTACATTGTAATAATATTTCAGAATGAAGTCATATCCTTTAAGGTCCGCATCTGTGTAAGAGTTAGAAATGTTTCTAAAACATGATTGTGAAAATCTAAACTTCTTCATATTTTAGTTGCATTTGGTTTGCATCCTATCCATGCTGTAGCTAATATTATTGATTTGGGAGTTGCAGCATGGCTGGGACATGATGGGTTCCAGGTAATTTTAACATTCTTAGGAGAACAGAAACTCTGGTTTATTTACAATCTAATTGTTTTTTTTATACCTTACTGACAAATAACATTGTAAAGTACTGGCACTGTGCAACAGCATTCTCTGACAGAAAACATTGTACAGTACACGCTTCTTGTACTAGCTCTAGCACAGCGTCTAATGACAGATGAAATTGTACAGTATACAATTCTTGTACCGGCACTAAGCAGTGGGCATAGTACCATCTTACTGATAGTTGTAAAGAGTCAACTTTGGCCGGGCAGAGAGTCTACTTAAAAATGAAATTTCACAGCACATACCGGCACAATGCCAAATATTAAATTATATTGCATTTACAGTACACACTTTTTGAACCGGCACAGCGTCTATTGACAAATACAGTACACACTTTTTGAACCGGCAAAACATCTATTGACAAATACAGTACACACTTTTTGAACCGGCAAAGCATCTATTGACAAATACAGTACACACTTTTTGAACCGGCACAGCATCTATTGACAAATACAGTACACACTTTTTGAACCGGCAAAGCATCTATTGACAAATACAGTACACACTTTTTGAACCGGCATAGCATCTATTGATAAATACAGTACACACTTTTTGAACCGGCATGGCATCTATTGACAAATACAATACACACTTTTTTAACTGGCATAGCATCTATTGACAAATACAGTACACACTTTTTGAACCGGCATGGCATATATTGACAAATACAGTACACACTTTTTGAACCGGCATAGCATCAATTGATAAATACAGTACACACTTTTTGAACCGGCATGGCATCTATTGACAAATACAGTACACACTTTTTGAACCGGCATAGCATCTGTAAATAAATGAAATTGTACAGTACATACTTCTTGAGCCGGCACAGCATCTGTTGATAAATGAAATTGTACAGTACATACTTCTTGAAACGGCACAGCATCTCTTGATAAATGAAATTGTACAGTACATACTTCTTGAACCGGCACAGCATCTGTTGACAAATGAAATTGTACAGTACATACTTCTTGAACCGGCACAGCATCTGTTGACAAATGAAATTGTATAGTACACACTTTGTGTACAAGTACAAAATTTTACATGTATAATTGAGTTGATTTTGATTTGAGTTTATAGTGGCCTGGAAGTGGAGATTATTTCCATCTACTCCATCATGCCCATTTTGATTGTAACTATGGAGCTATGCATGTTCCTCTTGATCTGCTTTTTGGAACATTTGCAGGATCTAAAGAAGAGGTAAAATATTTTCAACAAATTATTTTGTGAGAATTGTTATCATTATTAGAATTTAGGGTGATATAAAGTTGTTTGAATAAGAGTTTTACATAAATTAGTTTTTAGGTGAAACAGATTTGGTCAAATAAACCATCTGGAGAAGAAAACAATACAACACCTGTTCATGCTGCCAGCAAACAGGCAGATAAGGTCATGTGACCTACTAAACATATATACGGTCATGTAACCTAGACAAATATACGAAAATGGTTACCTACTACACAAATTTAAGGTCTTGTGACCTTCTAGACAAATATACGATAATGTGACCCACTACACAAATTTAAGTTCTTGTGACCTTCTAGACAAATATACGATAATGTGACCCACTACACAAATTTAAGGTCTTGTGACCTTCTAGACAAATATACGATAATGTGATCCACTACACAAATTTAAGGTCTCGTGACCTTCTAGACAAATATAACATAATGTGATCCACTGCACAAATTTAAGGTCTTGTGACCTTCTAGACAAATATAAGGTCATGCGATCCACAAATGTATAGTCTAGAGACCTGCTAGACAAATATACGTAATGTGACCTACTACACAAATGTTTGGTCTAGTGACCTGCTAGACAAATGTAAGGTATTGTGATCTACTAGACAAATTTGGGTCGTATGATCTACTAGACAAATATAAGGTCATGTGACCTACTAGACAAATATAAGGTCATGTGACCCACCTGTGACTAGGTTCAAATAAGCTCTTGTGATAATGATATTGTGATTATGATATAATTTGATTATGATACGATAAATGAAATGTGAATGGTAAAATCACAATATTGAATAGTTCTTTGTACAATATACATTGCCTTGTCTTGTGTATTTAACCACAGGCATGTTTGTTCTGTATCAAATAATGATAATAAATAATATAATATAATACAGATTTCTGAGATTCATTATCATCCAAATCTAGGAGTATGGAATAGAAGAGAGATACAAATGACGCGGCCCGCCCTACCATATGATTATCCATGCTTTGCAGACAGTACTCCAATTGAATAAGAAATATTTGTCTGATGTACAACCGGTCTAAATATTTCTTATTCAAATGAAGTACCGTTTACAAAGCATTGTATAATTAATCATATGGTAGAGCGGGCCGCGTCATTTGTATCTCATTGGTCCAAATATAATTATAAAAGATATTTTTATAGAAAATTTAATCTTCTTCAGAATACGTCTTTATGTGAGGGGTGTGCTCTGTAAGTCTGGGGGTTGTGACTCACTAGGAAGACACCATTTTAGCTTAAGTGTATTTCATGTTTTACAAGAAACTTAAAATTCAAAATCCCTAAACAGGCTATGGGGGGGCCCCATGAAGTTTTTTTTTGTCCTTGCCCTCTCATTTTTAACACTATCACCGTGAAATGATTTTTGTAAAAAAAAACATTTATTTTTTACTTTATAGGGTAGGGCACAGGGCGGAAAAAAGTCCAGTCTGTGAAAAAGAAAATGTAAAACAGCGCATAACATTGACTAAACCTACAGATCTAAAAACTATCTTTTTGAAAAGCCCTTGAAAATGCATGTAGAATTAGGTGTCACAGTTTGATGTTTGTTTAAAACGGATTTTATTTTGTCCCTTTTTTAGGCATTTTTTCAACCCTCTTTAGCATTCAAACTATTAAAGTTATCGGTCTATTTTTTTCTATGAGCTGGCCTTGAAATTTGGGCAAAAAACTTGAATTTCAACCCTATACCTATTCTCTAAGGCCTTTTCTAGAAGATATCTATATATTTAGTGTGATTGGTTAATGTGGAAATGTATATATATATTTAGTGTGATTGGTTAATGTGGAAATGTATCTATATATTTAGTGTGATTGGTTAATGTGGAAATGTATATATATATTTAGTGTGATTTGAATAATATGAAATTGAGTGTGTGGCAAATGGCAATGAGCCTCATTTATTTCCTGAATATATCAAATTATATGATTAATATAACAAGAAGGCAATTAATTACACCATAATGTAGATAGAAAATCTACAATGCAATTTATTAAAAAGTAATCTAATGTAAAATAAAACATAAATACAATATAGGTTTATAACTTCTAAACTTCTAAAGAAACTGTCTAACAAACAAATTATATGTATTTAGAAATTTAATATCAAAGATTATTTTTATATTTGTAATTGAAATAAGTAAATACAAGGTTACCCACAATGGATGAGATTTCAGAGACGACTTTACGAAATTGATGCTGTCTTATACATGATTCATGATTCTCTTCAACTTTAAACTTGTTTCTTTATTTTAAAATTATAAAATTATGCATTAAAAAACTATATTGTAAGAGTACTAGGTCGTCTCCACAGTCTCATCCTTTGTGGGTAACCAGCTGTATATTCATTATGCAAACAGTTAGTATTGCTAGTATTTGTGACAAAATTGATTAAAAGTAATCTCTTTTTATTCTTTTTATTTCCTCTACTGTCGCTTTAACTCTGCGCTTTTTCATTTCTCTATGGATGTCTCTCCCTCCATGTAATTTATCTATGGTTGTCTCTTCCTAAATGTAAGTTCACTATGGATGTCTCTCCCTCCGGTCCATGTAATTTCTCTATGGATGTCTCTCCCTCCATGTAATTTCTCTATAGACGTTTCTCCCTCCATGTAATTTCAATATGGATGTCTCTTCCTCCATGTAATTTCCCTATGGTTGTCTCTCTCCATGTAATTTTTCTATGGATGTCATTCCCTCCATGTAATTTCTCAATGGTTGTCTCTCCCTCCATGTAATTTCTATATGGTTGTCATTCCCTCCATGTGATTTCTCTACGGTTGTCTCTCCCTCCATGTAATTTCTCTATGGTTGTCTCTCCCTCCATGTAATTTCTCTATTGTTGTCTCTCCCTCCATGTAATTTATCTATGGATGTCGTCTCTCCCTCCATGTAATTTATCTATGGTTGTCTCTCCCTCCGTTAATTTCTCTATGGTTGTCTCTCCCTCCATGTAATTTCTCTATGGTTGTCTCTCCCTCCATTTAATTTGTCTATGGATGTCTCTTCCTCCTGTAATTTCTCTATGGGTGTCTCTCCCTCTATGTAATTTCTCTATGGATGTCTCTCCCTCCTGTAATTTCTCTATGGATGTCTCTCCCTCCGTATAATTTCTCTATGGATGTCTCTCCCTCTGTATAATTTCTCTATGGATGTCTCTCCCTTCATGTAATTTCTCTATTTATGGCTCTCCCTCCTGTAATTTCTCTATGGATGTCTCTCCCACCTGTAATTTCTCTATGGATGTCTCTCCCTCCATGTAATTTCTCTATGGATGTCTCTCCCTCCATGTAATTTATCTATGAATGGCTCTCCCTTCAAGTAATTTCTCTATGGATGTCTCTCCCTCCTGTAATTTCTCTATGGTTGTCATTCCCTCCATTTAATTTCTCTATGGAGGTTTTTCCCTCCATGGAATTTCTCTATGGATGTCTCTCCCTCCGTGTAATTTCTTTATGGATGTCTCTCCCTCCGTGTAATTACTCTATGGATGTCTCTCCCTCCATGTAATATCTCTATGGATGTCTCTCCCTCTATGTAGTTTATCTATGGATGGCTCTCCCTAAATGTAAGTTCACAATGGATGTCTCTCCCTCCATGTAATTACTCTATGGATGTCTCTCCCTCCTGTAATTTCTCTATGTATGTTTCTCCCTCCATGTAATTTCTCTATGGATGTCTCTCCCTCCATGTAATTTCTCTACGGATATCTCTCTCTCCATATAATTTCTCTATTAATGTCTCTCCCTCCATGTAATTTCTCTATTGATGTCTCTCCCTCCATGTAATTTCTCTATGGATGTCTCTCCCTCATGTAATTTCTCTATGGTTGTCTCTCCCTCCATTTAATTTCTCTATGGATGTCTCTCCCTCCATGTAATTATTCAATGGTTGTCTCTCCCTCCTGTAATTTATCTATGGGCTTTTTTCCCTCCAGGCTCCATGTAATTTAAAATTTCAACACGCTAAACAGCAATCTAACATTATAAAAGTTAAAATGTAGATTTAATATTATTTATCTAGATTCTAGATTCTAGATTCAAAGATAAGTTTTATTTTCACAATCTTAAATTAATTTCCGCCCTCACGAAGACTTCATACATTGTTCTGAAAAAAGAAAATAATTATAAATCGGGAAATTAGAAAATGAATAACTTCCTCCTCAAAGTTATTTTCTTTGTTAAAATAATTTTTTAAACAAACAAAAAAGTATTTTAAAAACACCCATCTTTTATGATTTTTAAAGCAATTTTCTCTCTATATATTTTTGATTTTTGGGAAATAATAGATTCAAGGTGAAATAGCATGCGTTGCCCGTGAAAAACAAATTAAAAATTTTCAAAAAAAGTTACCCTTTAAAAAAAAATCTTTTTGTAAAAAAATCGTTTAAAAAAAACGAATTAAAAAGGAACATCTTTTTTAGCCTATTTTACCCCCGAATGGGTTCCCTCAAATATTAGCCAATTCGATCAGCTATACAAATAAATATATATATATATTTGAAAACTACTGATACAACTTTGCAACCTCGCAACTTTAGTTTAGCGTGTAATATGTTAGTTTTAAAATACTAACAGGGTTACCCACAAAGAATGAGACATAAGAGACGATTCTATAAATGTATACTGTTTGTATCCTTATTTTAATGATTTCCTACAACTGTAAACTTTTTTGTTATTTCTCACATCACGAAATAGACTATTAAGAGATTATATGTTAGAGTAGAGACTTAATTTATCTATGAGATCATCATACTATATGAGCTTCACGTCGTCTTTACAGTCTTATTCTTTTTGGGTAACCCTGTAAATTAAACTGTGCTCATTTTTGTTGTCGTCTTTTTTATTCCACAGTATAGTATTGGTAGATAATCATAAAATAATATTTTGGCCTGAGCTGAAACTTTAGAATGGTTTATATTAAGATTAATGCTTGATCCTCTATTTTTCTTAATATCGAGACTAACCTAATCTTGTACTTGTATCCTGAAAAGTGTATAAAATTCAACCAATCAGAGTCACGTATAGAAGCCAATAAAATTGAGATTTTGCGCGCCATTTAAGATTATATACAGAAACGGGAGGGACTCTCTAAATCAAAAAAAAACCGGTTTTTGATTTTTCAGTACTATATCCAAGAAAGAACGGTTTAAGAAGAAAATCAAAAGTGTGTACATCGGATACTCAGATTAAGTAATTGGGATTAAGGATATCTCATTCTAAAGTTTTCAGCTCTGAAAGGATACGGAAAGTCTAAATTTATGGTTAAAACTGAATACATGATCGAGGGCATGGCATTATGATTAACAAGAATATTTTGGCAGGAAATATAAAATCTTGCTGATCTGACCTTGGTTCATACTACAATACCTACCCAGGATAGTATAGATATGTAAATATGTATCCTGTTATATCTTAATTCATCTATATACAGGGTTCCTCACAAGAATGAGACTTCAGAGACGATTGTACAGAATATATAATGTCTGTTTCCTTTTATGTATGATTCCCGGTTTTCAAAAGATGAAATTCATGGTGAAGACTTAATTTAACCTAGGAATAGTTAAATTTTAGGAGGTCGTCTTTACAGTTTCATCCTTTTTGGGTAATCCTGTAAATGATTGTAGATGATTTATGAATTATAATTATACATATGTATTTACAAAATTCTTCCTGACCACTTTTCGCCGCACTTTTTCTTTTTACAAGACAGTAAATAAATAATAAATTATAAATTCTAATAATAAATCTAATAAATAATCATTAATAATCAATTTTGTATTCAACATTGTTTTATAAATTAAAATACATATAAAAAGAACTCTCTGAATGAAAAAAATCATACGCTTTTTTAATTATTTGAAACTTCAGATG